TAGTTGGGTATGGGCGGCTATTTCTAGGGCGTATTCTACTCTCTCTTTGCCGGTTCCAACTCATATCACGGCGCACTCCACATGCAGCGCGGCGACCTCTGCGGCCTGGTCATCTCAAGCTTCACTGGAGGATATATGCCGAGCGGCCACATGGACCTCAATTTCTCCATTCATCCGACACTACAAGCTTGATAGATACACCTCAGCAGACGCTTCACTCGGACGGCGCGTGTTGCAGCATGTGGTTTCTACTTAAAATTTCTTATCTTATTCCATTCCCTCCCGATGGGACTATTGGGCCTTGGTATGTCCCATGCCTGGATGATTTCTCCATCTACTTGGAGAATGGGCATTGGTTCCTACCTGATACGCCCTTTCTCAGGATGGTGGAGACATCATCCCGCCCCACCCTGTTACTTTGACTTCTGGTTTTTTCTCTCTCTACTGTTTTTCTTGGGGAGAGATAATTTCTATCATTTCAGATTGTTTACACAGCGGTCTACAAGTCACTCCTTCATCTATTTCTGGGGAGGAGCCTAGTGGGCATGTCTTTAATACTTGTAGACCCAGTTGTATTGGATCCTGACGGAGTTATACCCATGCCTGGATGATGTCTCCACCGTCCTGAGAAAGGGCGTATAAGGTAGGAACCAATACCCATTTTCCATCGCCCCAGGGGGCAGAGTCAGAGCCATTGGGTTAAACAGGAAGGAAGGAGAACCTTCCTGACTGTCCAAGATGTCAGTCAAAGGAAATGCTGCCACACAAAGTGGTGAGTTGTCCTTTGCTCGAGGTCACTGATAACTAGATAGTTCTTGAATTGAACAGGGGGTTGGAGTAGATGATCTCCAAGATATATGTCAACTCTATAATTATAAATAGACTGCCATTTTATGATTCATGAAAAACAAAATAATCTGACAGAACATTGATTTTCTTGGCCATTTTAATATTTTATCTTTTTTATGCAAGTCGTCTTCTACACGGCTATTGTACTGTACTACTGGAGTGCTTCTGAGAAGACTAGAAGGAGATAAAAATTTACAAGGAATAACTCACATTATTATTGATGAAATACATGAGAGAACAGAAGAAAGGTAATCAAACCTTTAAAATTAGGGAATTTTTCATTATTGTATTGTATAACCTTTCTCTACATTTATTCTATTTATATGCAAATGCTTCTGTTGAATTACCATTCCATTTTTTATTTTAACATTCCATTTTTGCTCTGCTAATCTGGCCAATCTAGAGGTGGACCCACATTTTTCTTAAAACTGGGATCAACTGAATTCCTGGAACAATAGATTTTGGGATTTGGGGAACTGATTCATTCACCAGTTCAACTTTTGCTGTGGTTGTTAGCTCTGTTAAAAATGAAGTCATCTTCAATCCCAGAAGTCCAAAGGTTGTAAATTCATTTCCTTTCCCCCTGTCTTTGTGGTATGCAGAAGGAAGAATTTATTTATTTATTAGATTTGTTTGCTGCTCATTTCATTTCAACAGAATAGCTCATGCATATTCTGTTTTAAGCTGCACTGTTGACCAAGTCAGCAAAACAATCTAAGGAGTATTCCTAGCTTCTTTAACAATTAATCAGTGTTCAAATCATGATTCCCAGCATTTATATAATCATATACCAGGCACTGGAGAAAATGAATAAAATAAACTACTATTCGGTCTTTCAGCTGAATAGAAAACTGAGAAAGGTGAATGTATGGCAAAATTTGGGTTTTGAGATCACACGAGCTAACTCTTACAGTATATACAAATGTATTACTTATGAATCCTGGATTACTACATTATGCTAATCAACCTCTAGATTGGAATTATTATTAACATTCAGTTCAAAGATGTGAGGATATTCTTTGAAAAAAATCCTGGCCTACTGTCTTTCTCCTATGCCCATGATGGCAAACCTATGGCACGTGTGCCACAGGTGGCACATGGAGCATTTGTTAGGGCACATGAGGCATTGCCCTGTCAGATCCAGTGCGCATGTGCATGCTGGCCAGCTGACTTCAGCCTTCTTTTGGGTGAAAAACAAATCAACACCCAGACCAGAAGTTTGGGAACAGACTTCTGCTTTGTGCTTTGGGCCGTTTTTCTCACTCCAGAGGCTTCAGCGAAGCTTCCTAAAGGCTCCGGAGGGCAAAAAACGGCGCTATGGGCAAACCGGAAGTCCATTTCTGGACTTCCGGTTTGCCAGTAGGGCCATTTTTTGTGCTACAGAGGACCTCCGGGAAGGCAGGGGAGGCTCTTTTTGCCCTCCCCATGCTCCTAGAAAGCCTCTGGAGCCTGGGGAGGGCAAAAACCGGGTCCATCGCATGCCAAAAGTGGGGGGGAAAGCGGGGATCATGCACGCATGCACACGGGGTCGCATGCATAGCATTATAGGTGTGGGCACGCCCATGCAGACCCCCCCCTGCGCTCCTCCCACTTTTGTCATGCGATGGGAAAAAGTTTAGCCATCACTGTCCTATGCTCTTAATTGACTACTATATAAGAAGTTACTTTCCAATTTTTTTTTGCTTTTAATGCACTTAAAATTTGCATTTCATTGATGAGGACAAATTATTATGCTCTCCTTCCAGAATAACAGAAGAGGTATGTTGTTCGTTTTTCAGTTTATGCCATAATATGTAATATATTTACAGCTTTGGACCTAGAACATTAAGAACTAAATAGGGAGTGGACACCCAAGAATCTCTTTTAATATTGAAAGAGGAGGCAAAAACATGCAAATGTTGGAATAATTTTTCTTTGTTTTTTTCCAGTGACTTCTTGTTATTGATTATGAAGGGCTTATTGTTACAAAGACCAGAGCTGCGTGTTGTACTAATGAGTGCTACTCTGAATACAGACATCTTTTCTCAGTATTTTAATTCCTGCCCTATTATCAAAATACCAGGTGAAAAAAGCTTCTTTTACTATTAATTCCTTCACTATTTTGCCTTTTGCTGATTTTACAGCATTATAAGTTTCTATATATTTGCATCATATTGTATTGATAATAAAATATTTGAGCTGAGGAAACTATACCAATTTTAAGAATTTGAAAGGCATAGTAACCATAGTAAAAAGCACTTTTAATATTTATCAATAATTCGATGTAATTATCTTTCAAGTACAAAAAAAGCAATCAAACTTAATATTTGTTTTACCAATTTCTTCTATTTACTTTTCTATTTTTAAATACAAAATAATGTGCATTTTTAGAGTTTTGTAGTGTTTTAAAATTATTTTAAAATATATATCTAGTTTATTATTCAGTGCAATAATTATATGAAATGTTATGACAATTGTAGATTCTCTGTTTATTTACTGAAATTTTATTTCCCAAGCACGTCCTTTTTCATTTTTTTTCTTTTTTATGTAGTAGTTTATTTCTTAAATGGATTAAAATAATACTTTATTTTAAAAAGATTTTTGTTTGATGCCTATTTTGCAGTAAAATTCAGGCTATAACTGTACAACATTGCTCCAAATTTGTTGGAATAAAGCTTCCAATTCTTTGCTCTGTTTTGTACATATTTTGGGTTTATTTCACTAAAACTATTTTCCTATCTATTTATCATTGTTTACATCTCTAGGAAGCACGTTCCCTGTAGAACAGTTTTTTTTAGAAGATGCAATCGCAATGACTGGGTAAGAAGTCTCCAAAACAAGTCTAGCGCCAGCCATCCTTTTACGTAATATAAGTTTCTTTCAGATTGAAAATTCAGACTGTTGTTGGATCAACCTTGCAGAATAACACAGTTAAACCTCAGCTAATGTAGACAACACTACTGCACTGTATCAAATAGGATTTTAAATTAGACGCGCCCCCGGCCACGTTTTCAGCCATGATAGCCTCCTGCAGCCCTCGGCCAGCGAAAATGAAGCTCGGGCAGGCCATGTTGCCCCCCCTCTCCCCGAGCTCTGTTTTGCTGGCAGAGGGCTGCAGCAGGCTGTCTAGGCCAAAAACGGCACAGGCTGCGTTTTCACTGGCAGAGGGCTATCAAAACAAACTAAAAACAAAACAAAGGAGGAGAAATGTTTCCCTTTTGCATTTGAGTATGCAAAAAGAGACAGGAAAGAGAAAGGAAAAGAGGAAAAAGAAAAAGATGGGAAGAGAGCAAGGAAGGAAAAATAAGTAAAGGGGAAAGGAGAAAGGAGAAGGAATTGGGAAGGAAAAAAGAAAGAAGGAAGATTATAATGAGAGTGAGTGAGAGCCTCGGGGAAGTCCTGCCTTAGCACTTGGCCACCACAGGTGCCCCCAACACAAGTTGCGTGTCATGCCCACCATGGCCATGCCCGGCCACAGCCACGCCCATTACACAGCACCATTCATAAAGTATAAGCTTCTGGGAAAACTATTTGCTATTTGAAAAGCAAGGATAACTGCTTGCTTTTTTCCCTGTGACCTCTCTCGGCATGCATTCAGGTATGTTTTGGAGCATGGCAGTCCATATATGCGCAGAGTAAAACCAACTGCACACAAGACAGGAAGGCACGAACGGACTGCTGCAGAAGAAGTGGAGGAGACACTGAAGCCCACTGGATTGGTGAAAATTACAGTGCAGGATTCAGTCCCAGATCAAACACTGACTTTCCAACAACTTCTGATACGTTACAAAGGTAACGATGAACATTGGTTTCCAGGCATTCTTTGTATTTGAAAAATATTTCATTTATTACCTGAAAGTTGTATTCAAAAATTGTAAGATTAAAGCCTCTTGCATGCCTATCTGTACTAGGTCTTATTTGTGCCAAATTTTTCAGTTCTTTTTAGAATTTTCAACAGAGAGATTCCAAATCCTGGCCATTATCTTTCATAAAATAAGAATTGACATGTGATTTCAGCTATGCAAGTAAGAATACTGAATAATAGTTAAAATTATTTCCCTTGGAATATGAACGATTGGTGGTGAGCAACTAGGAAATGTGTCCATCTTAATTTATTTTTCAATACTTTCTGGGCAGGAAGCAAAATTCAAACTTTTAAATTCAGTAAATTCATGCTCGTACATTGAATAGAGAGGACATGGTACTGAATGAAATGTATACTAGGGATAAATAGGTGAGTGAACAAGCAGTCTGCTATAAGGGATAGTAGAACTCTGTATATGTAGCTCAACAGGGTAATTCAGGTCAGTAATATTACTACTAATTATTACTACGATTAATAAATACTAATTATTATTATTAATAATAATATTAGTAATAATGCTATTGTATGTCCAAGTGGAAATTCAGGATTTTATTTATTTTAATAATCTAATCCCCTAATTGAAATGTCTGTTGTGTGAGATTTTAGGACAATGCAAAGGGTCTGAAGAACCAAATTTTATTTTTGAAAGGTTGAAAATATATGTAACACTTTAAAAGTGTCAGAGAAAGTTTTGCTACATAGGAATTTTGATATATCTTGGCGTTTTGCATTTTTACCAATTAAATTTACTACATTTTACTGCTGAGATTATTTCTTTCTCTGCTTATGCATATTTCTTTTTTCTTTTTTGGTAGGTGTTAGCAAACAAGTATTACAAACTATGGCAAACATGGATTTAAACAAAATAAATCTTGAATTAATTGAAGCCTTATTAGAATGGATTGTCAGTGGCAAACATTTATATCCACCAGGTAACTTAAAAACAGTTTAAAATGGTGATCTGTTTAACAAATGGATTAAACTGAATAGTTCCAATATGTACAATTTCATAGAAATAGGACATTCTTACTATTGTGATGAGGAATTACATTTTTAAACAGGCATTGCATTCAGACAACAATTTAAAGAAACGACTATTTTTACTTGTTCCCTCATCTTCCCCTACTTTTTCATATACAACTCAATTATTTTTATGTTTCCCAGGTTCCTTCTTCAAAAGGGCTAATAAGATTTTTAAGTAATTGTGGTTTTAAATGAATTATTAAAGGTTGTACCCAAGAAAATAAGGGAGTGAAAGAGAGTACTTGTAAAAGCACCATATATTTCAAATAAACTAACACATTAGCTGAGGGGTTGTCTGAATTTAAGTAAGTCACATGAACAAAATTCAGGCACTTGGCAAAAAATATAACTTTACAAAAGTTGCAGTACCCTGGGGTCATATGATCATTATTGTGACCTTCCCAAGGGGCTACCAACAAGCAAAGTCAATGGGGGAAGCGGGATTCATTTAATGACCATATGGTTTACTTAACTACTTAAAACCCACTTAACAACTGTGGCAAAAAAAAGATTGTAAAATTGAACACAACTCACTTAACACTCACTTTATGAAAGAAGTTCTGGTCCCAATTGCGGTCATAAATCAGGGGCTACTTTTATAGGATGACTCAAGCACTAAGTGAGGAGGGGCACTTATTAAAGTAGCGTGGAGGCCATGACAGTGCAAGGCATGAATAACTAACATCATCCAAGTATGAAAATAAATGCTCTGAAAAAGGAATATTAGTGTGTACCTTCCCTCTAACACACTAGATCATAAATCTTTAAACCTTACTAAGTTACAAACTCTCATGCAAATAACACAAAGAATACAAAAGAGGTATTTAGGTGTAAAGACCCAATGGAACTGGATTCCATTATAATAAATTGAGGCTTTAAATGTTCTCTTCAGATCCAGATCAAGGATTTCTTGATCATGCTAACTGCTTTTTCAGAGTCAGCCTTGCATATTTAGTTATTTATTTATCACCACCTACAATTGGTTTTTAATATATCTATAAACAATATAATAGAATGTCCCTGGTATAAAGAATAAGAAGGGCAATACAAATAACACTTTAAAACACCTATATACAGTACAACACAAATAAAACAAAATGAAGCTAAGTAGCCAGGGCTTAATGTATAAACAAGTAAGGAGTTCATATTGCAGTACTCTCCAGAAAAAAATGTTTTTAATAGACACTAAGCATTATTTTCAATCATTTTAAAAAGATTCAGAGACAACATTTTATATAGGAAAACATCAGTTATGAGTAGGTAGTCATTGATGTGTGTGAAGCAACATACATTATGGACATCTGCAGAGGCAGTAAATGACACACATTCAAAAAGTGCAGAACTTTGATCATCCCAATAGCCCTTCATTTTGACATCGTCCATCCCACCTGTTACCCTCAATAATATAAAAGGCATTTGTTGTAATTGTGTTTTCCAAATGGAAGTACTTTCTGCATTGAAAATGTAAAATATGAAGCAGCAGAGTGGAACAGAAAAACAAAGATAAATATGGCAGTGACGGAAACAGAATAGCTTCTCCTCATTTTATTATTTTAATTCATGTTTAGGTGCAGTACTGATATTTTTGCCAGGTTTAGCAGAAATCCAAGCATTATATAATCGGTTGCAGTGTAACGCCATGTTCAACAACCGGCACAGCAAACGGTATTGTCTTTTTAATCTATTCAAATAAAAAATAGAAATATATTTTAATCTCATCAATGAATTTAGGCATTTTATTTAAAAGTTATATAACATTTCTTCCCTGGACCACATGACTTTTCTGTACTGGAATATAGCCACAGTGAATGCTTGTTTACTAATATTCTACACTTCTCAGTCAAACTTTTGAAGTATTGGAACTTCCAAACTATTGTAATCTGGTTATTGAACCAATAACTTGATAAATATATATTAGCTAATCTTTTAGTACCTCAACCATGTTAAATCATACCTGGGAAGTTGTTGCAACAGAGAAGGCAGATCTCATGGATCCCAATAAATAACATTGTTTAAAGGAGGGACCTGGAACAAGCCCAACTCAACAATTCTGGTGGGATGAACAAAAACAGTTAAAAATGGGTGTCTCACAAACAACCTGCCCCTGTGCGATATAGAACTTTATAGGTGACAATCAGAATTATTCAGAAAATAGCTTTAGGAGCCCGTGCAGCTCATCGAACAAAACTGTTGCTTGGGTGAAGAATCCAAAACATCTGCAGTTGTATGTTGCGGGTATTACAATGAGCCAAACAGCACATAGCAAAGGCATGAGTGACTGTGAGTAGGGCCTCCTGATCCAGGAGTGCGCATGGTGGATATACAAGACGGATTTGTGCTACGGTCCTACGAATCCAAGAGTTCCCCCCAATTCTGATCCAGGCAGAGATGTACAACTGAGTATCATAGCATACTAGTAATACAAAAGTATTTTCCTTTGTTACTGGCTGATTTCGCCCAGCAGTTTCTTGTAGATGTTGAAAAGGAATGAGGAGAGAATAGAGCCCTGCAATACCCTGTAAACGAGGGGCAAGGACTAGAGCTCTCCCTTCATCAACTATCCACTATACCATAGCATAAACTAGAACTGGCCTTGAAAGAAAGAAGGCAATCACAAAAAGTGGTCTCTCACCAAACAGGCCCATAATTTTTTTTAGTAATAATCCCTTTGAGGCTGTCAATTGAGATGGAGATTAAAAGATGATAGTTGTTCTCTGATCTAGACTTCAATTTTCATCGGTCCCAGTTATCATAATCAGTGATCAGGGTGGATGCGACTTAGCTGAAAATAACAGGACGACAACTAATTGGAATATTTTGTGTATATACAGTGCTACCTTTCATGTTCCTTTGACTAAAATTAGTGGGTTCGCCCTCTCTATTCATGTACTTATATAACTTTACTTTGTGTATACCGCCCAGAGTCCTTTCATATTTTCCAGAACTGTGGTAGATAGATAAATAGATAGATAGATAGATAGATAGATAGATAGATAGATAGATAGATAGATAGATAGATAGATAGATAGATAAATAGATAAATAGATAAATAGATAAATAGATAGGTAGGTAGGTAGATAAGTAGATAGATAGGTAGATAAATAGGTAGGTAGGTAGATAAGTAGATAGATAGGTAGATAAAAAGGTAGGTAGATAGATAAATGTATGTTTCTCCATTTTATTTCTGAAGGAGAACTTTGAACTTTCCCCAAGACTACATATTGTTGCTGGAAGTGCAATTTCCAAAATATTGAATTTTTTTTTGATATACACTACATATATAATAAGGGCATCTTACCAGTATATGGGCAATTATATTGATGTGACTTATTTAGCCACATCAAAAAAAATCAGACATGTGCTCCAAAGAAGAATTCTAATTGCCCAATTCTGATTATATGAAAAAAAGGTAATATGGTGATGGAAGAAATGCTCACAAAAAAAATCTTTCAAACCTGTTCTCTAATCTTTTAGCTGTGTTGTGTATCGTCTCCATTCAACTCTTCCCAGTGAAGATCAGCAGTATGTATTCTTCCAGCCTCCTCTTGGCACCACCAAGATCATCATATCTACAAACATTGCAGAAACTTCCATAACCATCAATGATGTGGTCTATGTGATTGATTCAGGAAAAATGAAAGAAAAAGGGTATTTAAAAACTCTGGGGGAAGTAATGGCTAAGGACTCAGAACAATAAATGTCTAAGGACCATGACAAGCTGTTATGGACATTATGCGCATAATGTCCATAATAGGTCTGTAGTTTGCTCCACAGTTTTGACTCATATGCAGAAGTTACTATTATGGTTTAGTTGCTAACATATATTTATGTGAGCCGTGGTGGCGCAGTGGTTAGAATGAAGCACTGCAGGCTAATTCTGCTGACTGCTGGCTGCCAGCAGTTCGAATCTCACCAGGCTCAAGGTTGACTCAACCTTCCATTCTTCCAAGGTCGGTAAAATGAGGATCCAGATTGTTGGGGGCAATATGCTGACACTGTAAACTGCTTAGAGAGGGCTATAAAGCACTGTGAAGTAGTATAAGTCTGCTATTGTTATCAACTGTCTGTCAAATTCAATAAGGCTTTGTTTCCTTGCTTTCCTCTCTCTCTCTCTCCTTTTTTATTTGTTTACTCTTTAACCATATTTTTAATGTCCCTATTTAGATAAGATTTAACATTTTTACTTGATTTTCTTTCTATGGCATAGATTTTTCCTGTTTTTCTTTTGCACATTTTAAAAGAGAAACTGGTAACATGTTAGTTGATTGCCTACCATGTTTGATAAGGCTGTATTTTTTCTAGCATTGATCAACTTTTGACTGTATATTTTCAAATATATATTTGGAAATAAGGATAAAGACTGTAAACCAGTGGCCATATATCACAGTGTGCTATCATGCAATTTAACTTTGGCTGATTGTGTTATAGTGAATCTTTATGACTTATTTTATAAACTCTGACTAAAACCACAGTTTAGCAGAAGATTCAGTTACCTAGAAGCATCATACGTTCTCAGTATTATACTTCCTAGTTCATGACCTGTCATGTATTTTGATACTGCAAACACAGTTCTGTATTTTCCCTCTGGTAGGTATGATCCAAGCAAGGGCATGGAAAGCCTGGAGGATTTATACGTGTCCAAAGCCAATGCCTTGCAAAGAAAAGGACGAGCAGGTCGTGTAGCTTCTGGGGTTTGCTTTCATCTTTTCAGTAGTCATCATTATAATCATCTTCTTTTAAAGTACCACTTGCCCGAGATACAGCGAGTGCCTTTGGAACAGCTTTGTCTCAGGTAAATGATTATTTTGCAAATATTCCAGCTAAACCTCAACACATTATGTGGTTTATCTTGTAAATACAAATCTTCTTCTGTTCTTACTTCCTTTTCCTGCTATTTTCTTACTACTGTCCAGTGGTGGGATTCAATTTTTTTTTACTACTGGTGCTGTAGGCGTGCCTTGGAGGGTGTGGAGTGCCTTGGTGGGTGTGGCTTGGTGGGCGTAGTGGGGGAAGGATATTGTAAAATCTCCATTCCCTCCCCACTCCAGGGGAAGGTTACTGCAAAATCCCTATTTCCTCCCGATCAGCTGGGACTCGGGAGGCAGAGAATAGATGAAGGTGGGGCCAGTCAGAGGTGGCATTTACAAGTTCGCAGAACTACTCAAAATTTCCACTACCGGTTCTCCAGAACTGATCAGAACCTGGTGAATACCACCTCTGTTACTGTCCCTTAATGGCTTGCTTCTTGGCAAATGTGTAAACTAATTGCCTGATTTTTCCTGATTAGCTTAGTAAGTAGCAATATCTAAACAATTCTAACTCTGAGGTGGCAGAAGCATCTCCTCTTTAGGTAGCACTTGTTTGTGTACAAATGGCACAAGTTCAGTGCCTGGGATTTCCAATTAAATGGATTGAATAGTAAGCAGCCTCTATCTAGAGATTTACAATATTTAGATCCAAAGCAGGCAAATGCACTTCACAACTGTGAAGGGTACTCCCAGTGTACTCTGCAGAAATCCCTTAAAGGAGCAATAAAGTACTTTTTCTGAGCTCTCATAAGACTTATATATTAAAAATTAGTCTCCCGCAGTCCCTAGTTTTGTTAGGATGTTAATAGGTTATTATACAGGTTTATTCATTCCAGTGTCTCAAATGGTATAATTACTTATCAATAATAAGATAAGATTTTTAAGAGCAATCAGATAATACAAAATTGACAATTTGTGGGAATAAGCACAATGAGTTGTTTGAAGCTAGCAGACAAAGCAAATAAAAGCAGTAATTTATGACAATTTTGCTCATTACATTACTTAGTTCATTGCAAGAAAGACAAGGGGTTCAGAGTAGCATGTTCCATTTAATGACACAAAGATGAAGCTGGTGTTGAGAAAGTGGTAGAAAAAATGAAGGTTTCAAGAATCTATCCACCTTACCCAGTTTTCAGGACAGGTAGTCCTTGCTTAGTGTCCATCAAAAGTTATGACAGACCCCCCCTCCCCCCCAAAAAAGCTAAAACCTACTTACAACACAGTTCTGCAGTTCCAGTGGTTCTACACAACCCTGGGATCACAGGACTGCATTTCAGGCCCTTGGTAACCAGCTCACCCTAACCCTGTTCATTTGTTTCTGGGAAAAATTGCTGTCTAGAAGGGGTTATTAAAGGCAACCTTCTTTTTTCCCCTGAGCTAAAGTCTTTCCCCAAATACTATAGCTATATCTGCCAGATACCTTAGTTCTTTAACTGCATCAATTTTACTTGAAAGGGGAACTGTTCCTGGAAATTACTATTGGGGTGGGGGTGGGGCTTGGCTAAAGCTAAATTGAGGGTACAGCTTGGATGACAGGAGCAAAGTAGGTAGTAAGTAACTTAAAGAGATAATAAAAGCATCTCCACCCATTCCCTGCTGTGGCCAGGATCTTGTTATCTGTGAAAGCAACATTTCAACATGGATAATAAAATCACAGGTAATAGGATTTTTAACCTAAGAGTGTAGATTTAGATTCTGGAACATTGGAAAATAGAAAAAATATTTCAAATACAAAAAGCACTCAGAAGTAAGTATTGTATACTGTACCTTTTGAACCTTGAATAAAGAAAGAACATTGAAAATAACTGGAGAAATTGTATGCTGGATTCTTGTCAGTCTCATTAAGTAGACCAGACTAAAAAATCAACTCCACAGGAAAACTAAAACTATTTTTATTCGGATTAGCTATAATAACAGAAGTTTGCAAGTGTGACTGTGCTATATCTTCTCTCCTTCTTATAGTTCAGTGAGTTAAGAATGTGTCTGAGCCACTTCCAAATATTTCCTGTCTCATATGGATATAAAAGGTGTTTCACAAGATCTTGTGTATGGATCTTGCATATCTGCATTTTTGTACTCTCCACAATTCTGTACTTCGTTGCATGCACCATATAGCAGAGGATTGGTAATTTTCTTTGGCTGAACAATATTTTTTCCCCAGAATAAAGATTTTGGAAATGTTTTCCACACATAAACTTCATTCAGTGTTATCACAACTTATTGAGCCACCAACAGCTGAATCTATAAATGCATCAAAGACGCGGTTGCAGGATATAGGAGCCTTAACATCAGAGGAAAAGCTTACTCCCTTGGGGCATCATTTGGCCTCCTTGCCTGTTGATGTGAGAATTGGGAAATTAATGCTTCTTGGCACCATCTTTCGCTGTCTGGATCCTGCACTAACAATAGCAGCAAGCAGAGCTCACAAATCACCTTTTGTAAGTATTATTATGATGATCTAGGATTCCCAGAATATGGGTTGTAGTCATTTCAAGAGATGACAGTTCTTGGTTCCCTTTTACCTAGATATGGGCAGCTGTCACTGAGCCACTGGTATTGGATGTAGGTGTTGGCATCGTCCTTCAATAGTCTTTGCACTTACAGCAGTAGTTCCAGGATCAACATGCTCCCAAGCACCAACTCCACCTAGTTTTACTTTCTCCTTCTTTCAAGGGTGGTTCTTTCTGGTTATGTTCCTGGGAGCATCACACTAGGTCTTGGCACTGAGCCTGTGCACCTGTGGACAGTTCATGCATGCCTTTTATAATGATGGATTGTGTTCTCTTACAAGAAATGGAAGAGGAGCACTGCTTGGGTTGCCTATTTCTTTTTTCTTTTTCTTTTCCCGTTTATTTGTATGCCGCCCTTTTCCCTGGGGGGACTCAGGGCGGCTCACGGTTCAAAAAAAAAAGGGGGGGGGGAAGGACAAACATTTGTCCTTTGGAAAGCCCTGGCAAAATGCAGCCTGCAATAACAATGAATTTTTTTTACCTCAGAACACACTGGTACATAGATATACAGTATATACACTTACATTTATTGATAAGACTAAAAAGTTAGTATAAAATATTAAAATTACCTAACAATGAAATGAATATAACAATAATACAAATATCAGTGATGATCACCAGTATTAACACTAAGATTTAGTCATAGGTAAATAGAGCAAATAGAGGTCCATAATAGGGCAACCTAAAAAGATATATGAAAGTAATGGTCAATTTTTTTAAAAAAGACAGACGTATGGTTCTCTCTGCCACTATAGTTCTTTAAAATTTCATCTTTAACTTCTTGCTTAACAGCAGTAATTGGGACCAGATTTTCTGTTGCTAGGTGAAACAATGTGACATAATCAATGTGATGTTGTGATATCACGTGGTCATGGGATACTCCAACCTGTGTGAGGCAGTTGTCAAGCACCGAGATTGTGATCTCATGACCACAGCGGTTGGTGTGATAGCTGGTTATAGGTATCACTCATTCAGCAGTGTGGCAACTTGGAAAGTGGTCATTAAGTGAGGACTACTTGTAGATGAACATCTTGTGAGAGTCCCAGTATAGAGACCAACTCCACAGAACCATCCTCACATGGATCTGTAGGCTGCTGAAGAGAGGTGTTTTTTAAAATATCTGCATAGGACTTTGCTACTTGATCCTTGGCTGAGATCAAATATAGCTTAACAGTTTTAATAATAAGGGAGGCAGTCAATTAACCTATTATTTTACAGGGTCCGAACACCACCAATTTTGAGAAGTTCAACTGTAATTCATTCCTATGTGTTCATAGAATTTAGATAAATTCTATACAGCTGAGACTAAATTTTAACTTTAAATATATTATCTATGTAATTGAACATTTTTATTAATTTTAAAGATTTCTCCATGGGACAAAAGAGAGGAAGCATTCAAAAAAAAGCTTGAGTTTTCCATAGAAAACAGTGATTATCTGGCTGTCATCCAAGCATATAAGGTAAGAGTTAAAAAGTTCACTTGGAATATCATGTTAAACATCCTTTCAAACTCTGGGGATTAAATAGTAAGGTGATATTTTTAATTTCCACTCTTTAGGGATGGCGCCAGTCTTCAAAAGAGTGCTTTCAAGCAGGTTCCACATTTTGCAGACAAAACTTTTTATCAGAAAATGTTCTTCAGGTAACATAATATTTTTATTTTGTATCTTTACCTTTATAAGGGTTTTGCTGACCTTTTAAAATAATTTGTTCTAATACTTACTTCTTGTTGTGCCATATGTTTTTCCCTTATATATAACCTGAACAATTTTAGACCAGGTTTGTTTATGCTATTATTCTATTTCATTTCATTATGCCTCTGCTCTGGATGGTGGACCTCACGGTTTCAGGGGAAAAAAAGGTAGATAGTTTGCATTTAAGTAGAAGTCATATTGAATTCATACGGCCAATCATCCTCCTCCTTTGTACCACATTGTTGCCCCATTTGAGATTATATTCTCAAAAAGCACCCAATGTGATGCGTGTTGTAAAAGAAGGTGCTGGGAAGAGGCAAGATGAAATACAGGTCCTTGACTTATAGCTATCAATGAGCCAGTCCATCATGGTTGTAATTTGTGACTGTCATAACAAGGGTCAGTCATGTGACTGTACCTGATTATATGAGTTTTGCAAAGGTTGTTAAGAAAATCACCACACAAGTTAAACAAATCCACCATTGTTTAACGCATTCCATAGTCATTTAGTGAATTACTGGTTCAATATGGGTGCAGTTTTGAAACCAGAAGTAGGTGCCAGCTTTCAGCAAAACTGTCCTAAAATGCAATCATGTGACACAGAACACTGCAAATAGTCATAAATGCAGCTGTGTTGTCAGGTGCTTGAAGTTCAGGCACATGACCACATGGCAGGGGAGCTGACCAGCAAACTTTAAGTCCAGCTCTTAAGTAACCCCAAGGTAGGTCTATCATAACTTCAAATGGCCACTAAGCAATCAGTGATAAGTTAAAGTCTACCTGTAATGCAAGTAATACACTATGGTTGCTGTTATTGATCTTCACTTTGAGGAACTTTTAGGAAACTGTTGAAGATCATTAAGATACATACTAATTATTTTACTAGAAATAATTCAGAAATCACCACCTTTAGCTACATATGGTTGTAGTTGGGGATTAACATACTGAGAACCCAATAACTAACTATATACAGTGGGGCAAAAAAGTATTTAGTCAGCCACCAATTGTGCAAGTTCTCCCACTTAAAAAGATG